TAAAATGTTTGGTAGTTACACCAGTGTAGAAAATCAAGCGTCTCATTGATTCGTGGTACGTCATCAAAATAGAGTTATTTGTATGGCGCGCTATTTAGGACACAATTGCATAATCAAAAAATAAAATATTGACGAAAATTGGTGTTAATAATAACTTTTATAATTTTTAAGAAACTTTGTTGTATATATACAATAAAAACAATTATACATAAAACAAATAATAATAATTGTTAACAGTGATAATAAAATTTTACAATACTTAATATTAAATTCAATGTTTGTAAAATATAATTAATCAGACATAAAAAAAGAGGTTAAAATAATAGTAACGTCATTTGATTTTTGATTACTGGCAGTGAGGGCACCTGAATGTGCTCGAGGTACGAAACACTCTAACCTTTGTACAAAATTTTAAATGAGTCCAGTGGGTACAGAAGTCACACTCCCCCCACTGGACAAACAAAACACCTAGTATGCTTCTCAGCCCCTCTGGTTCCCACCTCTGGCAAACACAGCAAACCTCCTCTTCTTTCTGACTTTCACAATAACTACCATCCTCAATAATAGGACCATGGGTCTTTTTAGATTTTTTAACTATTGATGTCCCAGATGTGGATGGCTGCATGTCCTCAAGATCAGACTTCTTCTTTCCTTCTGCTGATGATTTCAGAATATCCTTGTTTGTTTTCTTGGAAAGAGAACCAGCGAGGAATGTGGGATGAATTTTCTTTTTTTCTGTTTGGGCAGCTCTAATTTTTCGACTGCTGAAGAAATCAGGTTGTGGAGGATCATTACATATACGTGTCTGGGAAAATGGCTCCTTTGTGGCATGTTTATGTTAAATTGAAATAACATGACTTTGGGAACTTTGCTGATCAAAATGAGCTTGGGAGCATGGGTCTGCTGTCTTTACCTTCTGTTTAGGTGGATCAGCATCTTCAGAGATTACTGATTGAGCCATCTGTTGTTCTGTAATTGGTTTCGGGTCAACTGGAACTGTTTTCCTAAAGGCTGAAATTAAGTTTTCGGGATACATTGCTTTAAAGTATGGCGTTGCTGTGAGTCCTGCAATATCATATTTGGTAATATTTCTCCCTGGGTGCTTCTGTAAGAAAACAACACAGTCTCTATTATAGATTTTTTTTTCAGTGGCCCGAACACCCCAACATCTAATGGCTGGGTCAGGTGTCTGCTGTGCAGTGGGAGAACAAATATGATGATGTTATTTCTTTGTCCCCAGTCTGTCAAAGTTAAGCTAATTTGGGATCGATGCCCGCCTGAAAGGATAAGAACAGGGTCCTGATTTTGTCTCCTGGCATTTGCTACAAAATGGGTTGTCAAGCAGCGTTCAAATATTTTGCCATTTGACTAACTACTATCACTCATGGTTCCCGATGATCCAGATATTACATTAAGGAATTCCATCTTTTACCTGGGAAAACATAAAATGGGGGCAAAAAATGGCCTGCAGCATTTCCTCCGACAATGATGGTGATGGTAGATGATCGTGGAGATGTTATGGATTGAGGGCTTACATCTTTTCCACAAGCAATTTTTGGAGGAGAATGGTCTGTCGAAATCCCCGTCTCGTCTATATCAAATATTTGATCTGGTTTGTCCGATAAACCATGTCGTGTAAAGATTGTGGACAGCTCCTTAAAGTAGGCCTTCAATTTTTCAGGAGATGCATTTTTTGCTCTAGTCATTGAGAGGTTTTGTGGCTTCGCAAGTTTCAGGTTTTGCCGAGGACGTAAGAAGCCATAGAACCAATAGTTGCTGAGATGTTCAGAATTTTTATTCTTTGAAGTCTTTTGTTGATGGAATTTGCATATTCTTTTCCATTCTCTGAATACTCATTTTTGTATATTCATAGCCTATCTCAGCCATTTAGATAAGATGAAGTGCCAAAGCTTATTCTTGGAAGGTAAAAATGTTGCCATATCCCTATTTCGCATTTAGTTGAACTCTCTCTTTTACTCTGTCCCTAAGAGTCTGTTCTGGTACAGAAAATACCTTACAGGCTCTATATACAGACATTCTCTCTGAAACGACAGCATCATAGGCTATGAAGATTTGCTTTGTCATACTTTGTCATGCTTTGTCATATTGATATCTTTATGATATGATATAAACTTTATGATAAACTAAAGACTTCAACTTTTCTATCTTCAACTTTGTTCATTTATGTACCAATACACTAATATCATCCGCACATTGGGTTAATGTCTTATGGAGCATGTCCTTTGTACGAACAATTTGTAAAATGAGATAGGCTACTGACAAACAAGTTGATGATAAAAGAGTATCATTATCTGGAAATCAACATTTCACAAATTCTAGAGTAGATGCAATGACCTTGTTTCCAAATACATTCAGTTGTTAAGTCAATGCTGACAATTTATTGTGGTTAAATGGACTTTTGAGCATGAATACTGTTCGTTATCTTCATATTTATCCTCCGTGAGGTCGTGAGTTTGAATCTCGGCCGCGACTGACCTAAGTCGATAAAGTTCCTTCGCCATGCTCTTTGAAGTGAAAGTTGCGGGTCCTTCGGATGAGACCTTAAAAACCGAGACCCCGTGTCACGACAGGCGTTGACGATAAAGAACCCTCACTGCTCAATAGCCCTGTGTGCCAAGTAAAGGTCAAAATTTGAAGCCGGTTACCGGTATATGGTGACGTCTCTATATGAGTGAAAAATTCTCGAATGGGACGTAAAACAACATACAATCAATAAATCAATCTCTAAATGTGATATGAGGTATTTCATCCTAGGAAACTAAATACTCTTACTTTTTCCATATACAGTTTTGATCAAATTTCCATAACAACGCTTAATTTTTAAATTAGAACAAAAATATATTTTGTTTTAAAATGTAGTAATCAAACATCAGTATGTATGAAAATGTATTTTGTCAAAATAAATGTGTGATATTATCAAATTTCTTGTATGTAATATGCTACTACGATCTTTATTACTTAAAATATTTTAACTTATAATAATTGTTTTTACTTTAGGAATGTATGTGCACTGAAAATTAACAATAAAATTGCTGTTCAATACTTGTTACCATGGTTAAGTAGGTAATAGTCGTCTTCTCAGATATTTCATCATCCTAATAAAGCATCATGTCGTCGATTTTTGAAACAGGTCTGTCAATTTCCTTTCTACATTTCTTGCAATCATTAATAAAGGAACTAAAAACAAACAAATTTTAAAACAAAATAAAACCAAACCAAAGAAACTAAACAAAACAAGCAAACAAACAAAACCAAAAAAAAAAAAAAAAAACCCCAAACAAACAAAACCCAAACAAATAAATTTTAAAAGCTTATTTTGAATCTTTTGGGCATATTGCCATTGTTACGACTTATAGCAACCCATTTTTATCTATTTAACTTTATGGTATCAAATACTTTTAGTATAAAGTGTTGGAAGACATTCTGTGAATATTCGTAACACAGCATCTATAAAAGAGTTCAAGTCATTTTATCAGTGGCTTTTAAGGAGGTTGGATCCTGCCATCAAAAGTAATGAGAATTTTTTATTAAGTATATTTTTTGAATTTACACACATAGCTTAATTAAAAATGAGAACAAAAAATGGGGGTCAATGCGCTTCTTTTGGCGCTATAGAGCATTTAGTTTGACCTTTTTGCACTGTAAAAATATCTTACACATAAATAAAATTTTAAAGTTTTCCTCCAATATTTTTTATTCAAATAAATTATGGGATCAGAAGCAGTCTTATTTCAACTTGAATAGACACATTAAAATTTTGACAACGAAATAATTTTCAAATTACTCTGCATGTTCAATTATTTGACCTTTTTGCACTCGAAAAATTAATTTTTCTGGCATCAAAAATTTAACAAGCACAAAATTCATTCGAAAGTAATGACATTTTACTGAATTTAAGAAGAATGGTTAAAAGTATCTTATATATTCAGAGAAGAAAATTAAAAGTGGGGGTCTGTGATGTTAATTTTTAGATATTACTAAAATAGTGCCAATTTTAAGCTTAAATAAGGGCTATTTTTTTTCTTGATTTTCATAATATATTTGCTAATATGATGATAGAATTCATGACAGTTTATTAAATATATAATTTAGGACCAGTATAAAACAGTTCACTGCACAAAATAACTGTGTGCAGACTGCATGTAAAAATAGGAATCCAAACTTAATATACTTTAAATACTTATAAAGAGAAAAAATGATCATTTTCTTCTAAAAAAAAACTTCCGCCACAAAATATAGTTCCTCACTTAATACTTTTGGTATGGAATTTAATCATGGAGTTTTAACTGAATATAGTTGAATTGGCATTGTAGAATCTAAATTTATTGTAAGAATTAAAACATTATGCAGAATTTTTGAAATATGGGTTAAGACAAAAATCTGCTCAAAAGCTCAGGAGCGAACCTCGTTAAGTGGTTGTTTTTAACTGTGATTGTTGCTTAGTAGCAAACATACAACAAATAGTCCTCTCCTCGTAAGGTATGCTTCTTATTTGGAAGAAAATATTTTCAACTTTTTGAATAGAAACATTCGAAAATAAAACGGTTCTTAATATTTTTTGCTAAGAATATTCAAATTTTGTATAATGTCATTGTTTTAACAATTATTTGCTTAAAAATCAAGGTGTATAATTGAAGTTGACTTTTATCCTTCCTTTATGTGAAGCAAGACGGCGGTTAGGTGTAAGATCTAGAGTTTCGTTCAGGGTCTCCACCGATGCATCCTCCTACGTGTAAGTTTTACCGAAACATCTAAAATAAATTTTATTGTGAACCAAATCATTTTCTTCTTGTTGTTTTTATACATAAGCATGCACACGAACGAGAGGTGAAGTTACACATTCTGAGAAATTACTGAAAATATTCCATGTCTATTTAAGAACGTAAAACTTTAATTATGACTTTTTTAAAGTTTTAGTGATGGGGAGATTGCTGGCATTGTTGTTGGCTGTATCGTGTTTTGTATCATATTAATTTGTATCATCGCTTGCTGCTGTATTGGATCTGAAGAGGAAGAGAGCAAAGGTAATGTAATGCAGAGTAGCCCCACAAACCAGAAAAAGATCGTCACATGTAAGTGTATACAAGTCGCGGATCGCTTCGAATAATTTTTTTGTTGTGATTTAATCATTTAATACTGTCACATTTCTTCAGCGCGGAAGCGTATTGCTGCCGATTGATAATAGACATGCGTGCGATGAATGAAATAACTGGTATTATACTTGGTAAAGCTATTACGTTTATATTTTTTTTATGAAATACTTTAAAACTCGAAATATTAAGATACATTAAATTTACTAGTCTAAACAAGATGACATGGTCAAATTAGCTTGAACACACACGCATGCACGTGCGCTTTGCTCTGATTGACTGAAACAAAAATCTCAATAATTTCCTTGTTTTTATAACAAAATACATTGAAATTTAAATGATAGGCATATATTATGAGCATCTACAATAAGATAGGCATATATTTTGAGCATCTACAATATGATATATATTGAAATTCTTGAAAATTTACACGTCCATGCACGCGTGCAACAATTTGATTGGCTGAAACTTTAAATGGCTATAATTTCTTAGTTGTCAGCAAAACAGAACAAAATTTGGAATGTAGATAACTATAACTTTTCCTTACATTATCCTGCTATCAAATCTGAATGCAAAGACATGCTTGCACGTGTGCTTAATTCTTTTTGGCTGATTCTCAAATGCTCTACGTATGAGCAATTTCTAAAACGAAGTAAGCTATTGACAAACAAGTTGATGAAACAAGAATATCAGGAGTCTCATTTAAAGTCGTCATTTCGTAAGTTCTATGGTCGATACAATGACCTTGTCAGCAAATACAATTTATCATTAAGTCAAATGCTGACTGACGTTTTTCATACTAATTGTTTGGCCATTATTTACACACTGAATTGTCGACGGAATTTTCCGTTATTTCCCGATCATGACAAGGAGCACACAGCGGGTTAGACACGAAACATAAGATCATATATATTTTCAGATGTTAAAACGAAATTGGCATGGTACATTTTATCTACGGTTGTATTCCCAGAATGCCCTACCGTAAAGTCGAGCATGCGTATTCCAGTAAAAAATACTAACGTAGTTACTAGCGCTCTGGCGTTAGCAATAATATATTAATGTGACTAATAATGGCTTAGCTGTTTTTGAGAAGATTTTTTAAAAGATATTTCCTATTTATTCCAATGGTAAAATTTGACCCCCTGTTGTGGCCCTGCCCTACCCCCAGGTACATGATTGGAACAAAAATGAATCTACACTACCTAAAAATCTTTCTTTAATAATATGACTAATTATGGCTTTGCTGTTCTCGAGAAGAAGATTTTTCAGGATATTTCCAAAATATTCCTATGTAAAACTTTGAAGCCGTCTTGTGGCCCCGCCCTACTCCTGAACAAACTCATATCTAGAGTATGTAATGAAGCTTTGGCATAAGTTTCATCTTTTCCTGCCCAGTGATTCTTGAAAAGGAGATTTTCAAAAGATTCCACTAATTTTTCACAAATTCTTAATTATCTCGAAAGAGAAAGAAATACTTCCTGTGAACAGACGTAAATGGCCTTCACCCAAGAATGCGTTGTGGCAAGTTGAAATTGGCCCAAGTGTTCTGGAGAAGAAAATGAAAATGTGAAAAGTTAACGACAACGACAGACAACGGACAAATTTTGATCAGAAAAGGACACTTGAGCCTTCGGCTCAGCTTTAGCTGAAAATTACGCTATTCTTCACTTAAAAAAAACCTATAAAAACAGTGCCTACTAAAGAAAAATGCCTTGAATTAAAGAATGAGGAATCCTTGAATTTATCCACCAATAAAAATAATCCTAATCATTAGCATTGAATGTTTAACTATGCTGACCGACGTTAATAATTTTTTCAGCAAACTCAACAACTGGAGTTATCTACCCTTCAAAGATCTCTGCAACATTGGATACTCACGAAGTAAACAGTTCTTCATAGCCTCATCCATACAACAAACAATAAACTACTGCATGACAGTATGGACCAGAAGCCCTGAACCAAAAGTATGATACAAACATGGGCAAATACATTGACAAATCTGCATCATCTAATAAATCTACTGACCAGATTTTCTCCACCAAGCACAAGAAATCGCTTCGATTTTGAATATTACAGTACTTTATCAATTAAAAGAATTACTTTTATTAAAAATCATTTTGAAAGCCTTGTCAATATATTTTCAGCATTAAATTTACTTCAAATGAATACTTTGCCGTAAAATTTTTACTATATTTGTGATTGTGAAATTATATATGTTCCACATTTAATAAATTTGTGTATACGCAAACTACTTGTGAGTTGTATTATTTTTTATTTGAATTTCCTTTTGTTTAATCGAAATAATTTTTATACTTTTAGAGAATTTTATCTACATCTGTAAATTCGTACCTTTCTATGATGAAGTATTCTGCATTTTTAATGAACAACAGACAATGATTAAGAGACTACTTTTTTTATTAAACATTTTTCGACCAGTTTTTCTTTGTTTTAGTTCTTTGCATCTTTTACCAATAAATATTAATTAAGATAGACCTGAAGTCAGGTAAATCAATTCAATATTTTAAAACAACCTATTGTTTATTCGTTAATTTTCAAATCGAATATTTCAAAAACAAATCCCAATGATATAGATATATGCAAACTAAAAAAAATATAGTAAAATTTCATTTTCTCGAACTCGACGGGACCGAGAAAAAACTTTTTTGAACTTCCAGATATCCGAGGATTCGATATAAAGATGTTGATATATATGATGAAAAAAGTATTTGCGACATTCAAGTGCCTTTGTGGTATTCGAGATACCGAAGTTCAACTGTATAAATTTGTTTTTGACTCTGTTCTATCAACAACAAAAATGAGTAAAATAATTCTTTTGCAAATGAAGAGAAATGTCCGCTACTGAAAGATTTTTTGGTTTGGATGACAATGTGCTCCTCATTTAGATCATGATTTCTCTTAACAAAAATCATTTCAACAGATTTTATTCATTTTATTAATTCTTTTTTAATGTCATATGCACATATTATACAATGAAAAAGACTGTTGTTTGCCTAAGGTCTGATTTGGTGTTCAGATAAAGCGCGCTTAGTCATACAGTATTAGGCGTTTCGATTCAGTATTATCAGTATGAAAATCTCATTGAAATAACATATAGTTGTGAAAAAGTTCATTATTTGTGTATTTATGTCATTTGTAAATTTTCTAAATGTCAAATATTTTGATGACAAGCTCAACCCTTGCCCATAGTAAGTTTTACAATTATTTACTTCTTAGGTGTAAACAAGATTTATTGATTCTTCACTATAATGAACTTACATGATCTTGAAATTGATATATATGTATGTACTTATGTGCAATGAAAAAATGATACACTACAACCAACTCGACCTGTTGGAATAGCAACTATGAACAAGATGTGTTTGTGAAACACTGATGCCCCCGTATGACAGCTTATGGCTTAAAGGTTAAAGTTAAAGGTTAAAGTTTCTCAAATGCAAGTCAAAATCCAGGCCAAAAGAGAAAAAATTTTAATTCTAAAGTTCTAGCTGCAACTGTTAAGAAGTTATGGCGAACTTTAAAGTTTTTTAAAAGTAAGTAAAGCATCAAGGTCAAGGTCAAAGTTGTTGGTATCCAAAGGAAGGTCTTGTCAAAAGGATTACATATGTAAAGTATGAAAGCCCTAGCACCAACCATTCAAAAGTTATGGCCAAGATTAAAGTTTTTCGAATGTAGGTTAAACTCCTATGTTAAGCTCAAAGTGGTTGGTATCCAAAGGAAGGTCTTGTCACAAGGATTACATATGTGAAGTATGAAAGCCCTAGCACCAGCCATTCAAAAATTATGGCCAAGGTTAAAGTTTTTCAAAAGTAGGTCAAACTCCTATGTCAAGGTCAAAGTGGTTGGTATCCAAACGAAGGTCTTGTCACAAGGATTACATATGTGAAGTATGAAAGCCCTAGCTCTAACCGTTCAAAAGTTATGGCCAAGGTTAAAGTTTTTCAAAAGTAAGTCAAACTCCAAAGTCAAGGTCAAAGAGGTTGATATCCTGAGGAAGGTCTTGTCACAAGGAATACACATGTGAAGTTTGAAACCCCAAGCACCAACTGTTCAAAACTTATGGCCAAGGTTAAAGTTTTTCAAAAGTAGATGAAATATATGGAGATAACGAACAGTATTCAAGCTCAAAAGTCCATTATACAATACAAAATAGGAGCAGAGCAAACACGGACCTCCAAACAGCAGAGGTGGGATCAGGTGCCATGGAGGAGTGAGCATCCCCTGCCGACCGGTCACACCCGCCGTGTGCTCCATGTCATGATCGGGAAATAACGGAAAAATCCGTCGACAATTCAGTGCGTAAATAATGGCCTAACAATTAGTATGAAAAACGTCAGTCAGCATTTGACTCAATGATAAATTGTATTTGCTGACAAGGTCATAGAACTTACGATATGATGACTTTAAACGAGACAGCTGATATTCTTGTTTCATCAACTTATTTGTCAATAATTTACCTCGTTTTAGAAATTGTACATACGTAGAGCATGCTCTTGCGTATCGAATCAACTGAGAGATATATACCCCGCATGCAGGTGATGAAGGTATATTGCTGCATAAGTAAGGGAAGTTGACGATTGAAAAGTTAAAGTCATCACGTTTATCATAAAGCTTGGTTGTAAGATTACCATTAACGTCTTTTTCAAGTAAAATATCCAAATATGAAACAGATGTGTCAGACTCTGTGGTATCTTTTATCTCAAGATCAAACTCCAAGGTCAAGGTTAAAATTGTTGGTATCCAAAGGAAAGCCTTGTCACAAAGGATACACATGTGAAGTTTGAAACCCCAAGCACCAACTGTTCAGAAGTTATGGCCAAGGTTAAAGTCTCATAAAATTTTGCAAAAGTGGGTCAAACTCCAAGGTCAAGGTCAAAAGGTCAAATATGATGGTACCCAAAGAAAGGTCTTGTCGCAAGAAATACACATGTGAAATATGAAAGTCATAGCTCCGACCAATCAAAAGTTATGGGCAAGGTTAAAGTTGACAACAGACAGACAGACAAACAGACAAACAAACAGGACAAAAACAGTATACCCCCGGGATCTTTCGATCCGGGGGCATAAAAAGAGACACCAAAGCAAAGATGTAAAATCGAGTTTGTCTTTTTCATTTGTGAAAAGAAACTTTTCTTCATGTAAAGCCCTGATGCTTCTCATTTTTAAATATTTGGTCATGGCTTTCACTGGACATGTAATAGTTTGATTTGCGAAAATTGGAATGGAAATACCATTCCCAAAAGGGTCTGTCTTAGATCTTTTAAGAGTCAAAACCAAATGATCTTCAAAAAGTGTTAAATCGTCAATACATATATTATTAGTTGCATCAAATTTCTCATCAATGGTAAATTCCCCACATCTTAAAAAACCAAAGAAAGCTAAAGTACAAACAGATTTAAGCATGCTATCTGTAAAAACATCAAAAATTCCTTGATCAAGTAACATATACATTTTTGTTAAAATATCTATGGTAATAGGCAAGCGTATTCTTTTGTCTCTATTACATTGTGATTTCTTTATGCCTGACAAAATGGTTTGTAGACCTTGTAATGGTTTCCCATAGCTTTCTAGGGGGTTAAAACCACCTATTCGAAGGTACATGTATCGTATACCACTTAAATAAAGTTTGATAGTAGAATAACTTAGTTGCAGCTCAGAATAACAATAACTAACATATTGTATAAACACTTTCTCACTAACAATCGGCAAGCCATTACTTGAGTTTAAGTTCATCAACGATACAAATCTTAGGAAACTCTGGAAGCCAATCTGGTATTGACGTCTGGTCTTGTCACCAGTAGCTCTGTCCCAAAGTTCACTCACTACGGTTTGAAGTCCCATAAAACTTGGTGTAACGGGGGACACTTGGTTGGATTCATGTCTGCATTTGGAGCTAGATTGCGAAATCGCTGAAACTGAAAACGAGAAAGAGCGTTAGCTATTTCATTGAAGATGCCTGGAACATGTTTGCTATATATTACAAAATTATTTTGTACAGATCACATTACTAAACTACGCATAAGTTTCATAATATAAGTTCCTTTGGAACGTCCCTTTTGTAAAATTTTAACCACTGCTTCATTATCACACATGAACTGAATTCGTGTCCCTTTCCAACTATGTCCCCAAAGAATTGCTGCAACGACTATTGGATACAGTTCCATAAATACTATGGACATTTTTGCATCTGTTGATTCCATCAGGTCAAGTGGCCAAGGTTCACTGAACCATTTTCCATCGTAGTATCCTCCAAAACCTGAATTCAAAGCAGCGTCGGTGTAAAGTTGGAGGTCTGCATTGGACGTAAGATAACACTCATAGAAAAGTGAAACTCCATTCCAGTCGGATAGAACAGTAAGCCACATTTTCAAGTCATTTATGCACTCTTGATTTAAGTGAACATAATAGTGTAATTCCTTCACTGTAGTGGGTAGACTTTTTAGATAGCTTACAAATGCTCGACCTGGTAGTATAACTCTGGTGGCAAAATTAAAATGCCCCAACAATTGTAAAAGTTCTAATTTTGTGCATGACTTTTTCCTTAAAAGATAATGAATAAAGTTGGCAATGCGCTGTACTTTCTCTTCTGGTAAAATGGCTTGCATTTTCTCTGTATCCAGAATAACACCGAGATAAGTAAGAAGAGTCGACGGACCTTCTGTCTTTTTCTCTGATATAGGAATTCCCAGCTTCTTAAAAGTCATTTTTAATATCAACATAGTTCTTTCTCCATCGCCTGTGAGCCTGTCAATTGTAAGAAAATCATCCAACAAATGCAAAATTGTATGGATACCATAATTGTGTCATGCAATCCAACACACTGCTTGAGAAAGGTTATCAAATATCTTAGGGCTAAATCGAGATCCAAATAATAATCTTACACAAAAATAATAGTTCTTGTTCCATTTAAAACCCAGAAAACACCACTGTTCAGGTAATACAGGAATTTGCTTAAAAGCGTCTTAAATGTCTGTTTCACATAAAATTGACCCTTTTCCATATTCTTGAATGTGTCGAATAGCATCATCAATTTTAACATACGAAAGTGAGCATTTCTCTTTGTCAATTAAACTGTTGATGCTTTCATGATTTGGGTCATTATGAGGTGAAGATAAATCTAAAATGAGCCTTTTCTTTCCTGAATATTTTCCAAGTGCTATTCCCACAGGACTAATTCTATGTAACATGAATGGAGAGGATGTAAAAGGGCCTATGACAAAACCTTTGTCCACTTCAGCCCTTATGAGACTATCAACTGTCTGGGGGTCTTCACGAGCTGATTTCAAATTCCTACATTCTTTACTGCTACAAATTTCCTCTTGCTGTATTAGAATTTTAAAACCATTGGTTAGACTATCAATCAAATAATGTACAAAAGTTTAATCAGAATGTTCTTGTAATTCACTGCCCAAACGATGAATATTTATTGGTGTTGAAGCTTTGAATTCTAGTCATTTTGAAGGCTGTAATTCTACATTGTTCTTTCCACTGCCATGAGGTGAATTTTCTATTTTCTTTCTTTTACATTTCATAGCACTATGTGCCTGGAAGCAGGTAAAGCAGACATGCTGGAACTTGCATTCTGTTCTCAAACAGCCCTTATCGCTGTTGTAATTGTTGCAGAGTTCTTTGCCCTGGTGATATCTTCTACTCCTTCCATGCATGTCGACATCTCTGTTCACTGTCCTGTGATTTTCTGTTCTTTAACATTACACATCAGTGTGCTATGAACTGTCGAACCACATCTTTCACACTTCGTAACACTAGATCCTGCACAGACTCTCAGTAATAGGTCAGGGTCCCCCAAAGCCCAATCTACTTTAATATTGTACTGTAAGAGAGCTGTTGAAGCTTTGGCAGAGAACAATTTATGATACTCGTAAAATTGTTGCCCCCAAGTGGAATAAACATCAATGATGTGAGATAGATATCCATCCAATTCCCTACTTCTTTGAGGAAAGCTTTCGACCATGATTGATTTATATATGGTGAAGGCCTTTACAAATTCGCCGATGGATAATGTTCTGTTAAGACGTTCGTCCTTCTCTTCTTCTTTGTTTTTGGGGCTACATAATTTGACAACAAGAGTTTACACATGTTAAGATCCTTACCCGAAATGATTTCTTTCCGGATTGTAGGTGATACTGCCATCACGTGCTGTAAGTCCGCAGAAGGGACGCCACTCGCACTCGTTTCTTTCATGGTACTTTTGAACAAATTCGGGTGTAATTGGGTAGCCGCTACTTTGTCTGGAGATCCAGCTGCGAACTGTGCACTACTTCGGTTTTCATAAAATTTGCGTAATGAATAGTCTTCTTCTTCTTTATCTTTATGCGTCTGTTGTATCAATTTCACTGTCTCCTGTAAGGCGAACGCTGTCGCCATCAACACAGAATTCTCACTGTTTACGTTTCTCTCCGGAACTTTGATACTTGCTGGTTCCGTTGGCGCATGCGCATTTACATTGGTGTAAGGAAAGGCCCCTCCATGGGGTACAGATGTTTCAGCGAAGGCTGAAGCGGATAGTTCGTCAATTCGTTCCGTTATATTGGAGGTACATTGAGCTATGTTTTCATCCTCATTCCTTACTGCGCTTGGTCTCTTTTGAGCAGAGTCAATATATACTGTTTCCCCATCGGTGCCTATCTCTTTCTTGCCTTTGTTATCTAACCATAGTTTCACTAGTATTTTGTGGGGAATAGAATGGTAAATATCGATGCCGCACAGTTTTAGTTCATTTTTCAATTTATCAATTGTCCAATTGTTAGGATCGTCAACGTCTACTGTTGCTGCCCTTCGAACCCTGGATCTTGATCTAGTGCGATTCATGGCGGGGTCAAAGTCCAAAGACACGGATCACTAATTCATAATCACAACAATATCACATGGTAAACACATATAGAAGTCCAGTAAATAGTCCAGTAAAAGCAGTTAGGCCAGTGGAATGAAAACGACAGAAATAAAATGAATGTCGAGTGAATAAATGTTATAATAGCTGTTGTAAAACTATGGAATCAAGATGCTGCCAGCTATGGCGTTGGCTTCAGAAAGAGGCTGGGTATTTTCCCTCCGTAATATTGGCCATCTATGGGGCCTCCGAAGGGTAAATCTTCCACCGAGGGGCCTCATTAAGGAAGTGAATGAGTTTGTTTGTTTCCCTGGTATAAACTCAGTTTATACTACTTATAAACTTTAATATAACATTGCCTCCCAATATGGTATTGGAGTGCCAGAACAGAAGTTTGATGCCCCTCCCATAGATGAACCAGCACCATCATACGAAGAAGTGGTTGATAAAAAGAGTGATGTCCCCTCCTTATGTGTCATACATGACAGATCCCCCACTATATAAATAATATATTTTAAAATCTTTTTAAAATATATTATCTACAAAATCTCTGTCTGAGTCATATCAATACTACATGTAGTATTTTGCTTTACATGTATTTTGATATTTTCCCCATTAGAAACCCGTTCAATGTGTACACAGTTTGAATTCATTATCTTTGTGAAACTTTAAAGTTCATTCTGGCCCAGAATTTATTAATGTGTGCAACTCAAAAAATTTTTCACTCATGTTGGAAAACCACCAGTTGTCTGTGGGAGGATTGAATCTAAACCGGCACTACGCAGTTATGGTCAATGAGCAGCTCGAGAACTTTTTGTACCAGCATCTACTGTGACACGGGACCTCGATTAATACGGTCGCACCCAAAGGACCGGTCCTTTATTCGAATCCGCTATTAAAGGACCAATTCCTGCATGACTAGAATAAACGCTCTAATCATTGTGTCACTTAATATCAGGTTTACCTCGAAGATCAAGATTATTGTAGCAGTTGTGATAGAGAATACACTGGCTCATCCCATGAATCCACAAACATTACCTATATCGGAAACTTTATAGGTAACCGAATGTACTTTTAAATGATTTTGTACTCCACCTTTTCCATGTTGAATTTGCTCCCCTGTAGCATCCTTAGCCCAGGCAGTGGTTCCTGTCCCTTTTCTAAAACTGCGAATTATAATCTTCAACTCTTTAAAAAACAAAAATCATGGATAGCTGTAGCTGTTTAGATAAGAAATTATTCAACACTTAAAAATTATTCATGAAAAAAAAAATTTGGTTCAACCTCCTGACTTTGAAGTTATTTCAGAGATATAAAAATTGGATACATTTCTTTGGGTGTTATGTTATAGTAATGAGAATCACAGTAATGTGTTTACTTGCACTAGCTGTTTTTGAAATTTGGCATCTGAGTTTTTATTCATGTTTACATGGCACTCTTTTCCCTAAAGTAGTTTCTATTTGGTTGTGGTAATACAGCAATTTTATCAATTCTCAAATCAACATGAAAAGCTATCAAATATATGGCTTGAAGATAACTTGTTAATATTTAGAAGGACAAGTATATGTGGTTATGAACTTATCAATCACTTTGAAATGATAAGCATTTCATTAATTTTCATAATTTTGGTGCATCTACGTTTTTTTTAGTTTACGATCCAGTACAAGGAACCACTGAATGTTTCAAATAACCAAATATGAATTGCTTACACCCATGAGCAAAGTTTCATTCGTAGCAGAATTGATCATTTATTGCAAATCCTAGCAAGTAATAGCAGCTAGGATGTAAGGGTACAACTTTGTAACTATTTTTGATAACAAGCAATTTTTCCAACATAACGGCGTCATCTACTATGTGCAAAGTTCAACTGAATTCCATCATTGTGTCAGATAAATTCTGAATTCATCGGGTGGCAGTAAATACAAACAAGAGGCCCAAGGGCCTTAACGGTCACCTGGGTACAATACAATTAAGAGGATCAATAAACAGCTTTGTTGCCCAAAAGGAAGAAAATAGTATGATTAGGATCAACAAAGTAATTGGTCTAGTATCTAGTGAAATTCTTGCCTGCAAAAGTATTTCAATCGGTAGTTTTTGTCTACGATAATATCTTAAAATTTTTCCCCCGTAAATTCCTGCATCCCCAAAAAGCTAAATCCACAGTTGATTTTGTAAAGAAAAATAACCCTTAGTCAGTGTACTAGGAAGTTGTCATTACTTTTTTGTTCAATTCTTCAAGGTCATTGTATCGTGGTCTATTGATCAAATTCTTTTAATTTGCTCAGCTTATCAGCAAAGGAAAAATGATACTACAGTTGCTGTGGCAACACCGTTCCTCGAAATCAAAAACCAATAAATAGAAGTATGAAATATATGAAGATAACGAACAGTATTCAGGCTCAAAAGTCCATCAAACAATACAAAATAGGAGCAGAGCAAACACGGACCTCCAAACATCAGAGGTGGGATCAGGTGCCATGGAGGAGTGAGCATCCCCTGCCGACCGGTCACACCCGCCGTGTGCTCCTTGTCATGATCGGGAAATAATGGAAAAATCAATCGACAATTCAGTGTGTAAATAATTGCCTAACAATTTGTATGAAAAACGTCAGTCAGCATTTGACTCAATGATAAATTGTATTTGCTGACAAGGTCATTGTATCGACCATAGAACTTACGAAATGATGACTTTAAACGAGACAGCTGATATTCTTGTTTCATCAACTTAATTGTCAATAATTTACCTCGTTTTAGAAATTGTACATACGTAGAGCATGCTCTTGCGTATCGAATCAACTGAGAGATATATACCCCGTATGCAGGTGATGAAGGTATATTGCTGCATAAGTAAGGGAGGTTGACGATTGAAAAGTTAAAGTCATCACGTTTATCATAAAGCTTGGTTGTAAGATTACCATTAACGTCTTTTTCAAGTAAAATATCCAAATATGAAACAGATGTGTCAGATTGTGGTATCTTTTATCTCAAGCTCACAAGGATATATCGTATCGACATAAGAATGGAAATAGCCATTGTTAATTGACAATACGTCGTAGATATATCTAAATGTCGAGTTGAAGGGCCACAGCAAGTGTTTTCTTCTTTTGACGTACAAGATTTTGGACAAATTCTGCTTCATATGAATACAAAAAAAGGTCTGCTAATAACGGGGCGCAATTGGTACCCATGGGAATTCCAATAGATTGTTGGAAGACCTGGTCTCCAAAAACCACATAGATATTGTGTATCTTAGTGTAGTTGACTTGTGTGCTTAGTTATATTGAAATCAGACCCAAACTGTTGAGCGGTTAAAAGTATTTCAAGGAAAATTTTATATATATATTGTTTGTTGTTAAACGCCCTTCTCGGGAATTTTTCACTCATATGGTAACGCCACCACTTGCCGGTGAAGAGCTGCAAATTTTGACCTATACTCGGCACTCAAGGCCATTGAGCAGTGAGGAAACATTTTCGTACCAGCATCTACTGCGACAAGGGACCTCAGTTTATACGGCCTCATCCGAAGGAGCGGTCTCCACGTCCCACAGTGGGATTCGAACCCGCGACATAAGGATCAACTCCTTATTCCGCGACTCTAGAGCAGACGCTCTTCCATTGCGCCACGCGGGCGACATCTTTAAACCAAGAAATTTGTTACACGAATTGCCTTAGATATGTTGGTAATGCACAAAATATGGGAAAAAAATCATTGACAGGATTTTTCAGCTCTAGGTCCTGCTTCTCTATAAAAGATTTCCAATGATTTTGGATATACATTATAGGGGTTTGCTCGATCGTACCCAAAACAGAACCTGACCTAGATATTCTTATTATAAATCTGTATACCAAATTTCATTTCAGTATGTGCAACCTCTGCAAAGAAAATGAACGGAAACTGCAAATAATTGTAATTTTTCTAATTCCAAGGGGCATAACTTTGTCAAAAATTGCTCAGTCATACCCATAACAGAACTTGACCTAAATATCCTTATGATAAATCTGTTTACCAAATTTCATTTTAGTACGTGCAACCTCTGCGAAGAAAATGAACGGAAACTGTTGGTGGACCGACAGACAGACAGCAGCAAAGCAATATGCCCTCCCTTCTTCGAAGGGGGGCATAAAAAGAGCTGCAAGCTTGAGGCATAGACGCGAGATCGTCATTTTAAATTTACAGCAAATATCATTGTGGGGATTCACTACCTAACAGAGCCTTACAAAGCAAATTCTACCGTCAGCCGAATTTAATCCTCTGCACATCTATATCCATACACTGGTAATTTACTGCCTAATAATATGGATTCCGGAACAGAATTGTGATGCCGTTCCTTCGTCATCTTACACACACGACGCACCAGCACACGAATCAGTGGGCGATCCAAGTCGACTGATGACTACAGGAATAGCTGTCGAACATGACAGATCACCTACCGTATACTACGTGATTTTAATGTTAAACTAGCTATTTACAATGAATCCTCATCAAAACATGATATACAAGTTCCTGTAACTATGCAGACACTTTATTGCAAGTGGTTTTGCTTATAAAATACGTAAATGTGCATTTTTCTCAGCAACCGGTGCAATAAAAAGATACTCTGAATTTAGCTTTGTGGAACATGAAATGTGTTTCCTTAGAAGTAGTTTTACATACAAAACAATCGTTGAATACGTGAAAGACTTTTAAGATTGCCTTTTTGGCAACTTTATGCAAACACTGTATTCTCTTATAATTTAAAAAAAAAAAACATTATGATTTTTGTTTTTAAATCCCTCTTTATAATTCATTGAATGACAATGTGAACAAGAATTCTGAGAGTATTGCATAAGCAATACATGTCTCCTACCGGTAGGGTACCTGTAAAATGCGAAACGAAATAGACACGAAACGAAACGAAATCTACCGAAACGAAACGAAATGAAACCTACCGAAAGGAAACAAAACGAAACAAATCAAAAACGAAACTTATCGAAACGAAAC